GCAAATCAATTTAATGGACACCCTATCATTTTATTTTTTGCAACGATATATGTGGATGTAATGCCGTAATGGTATTTAAAAAGTTACTACACACTTTCTGTGCCATATCAAGAAGTGGAGGATGCCGGTAGAAGTGAATGTAAATTGCAATTTGTGGACAAACAGCGTTATAATTTATATTTGCTCTCTATATATATGATTTGTTTGGTGCTTTAAATTAGGAAGTGAGAACTATTTTCTTGGAATGAATATTTTGTTTAATTTATTTCCTATTTAGTATCGGAATTTTATATTTTTTTCGGTGCAATTAAGGTTATTTTATTAATTAATCATGACCGACGGATCAAATCATTGTTATTACTAGAATTATAAAATTATAACTTTTCATAAATTCGAATTTCGAATTTCAAACTTAAGAGTTCATTATCATTTAAACGGATGAAAAAGGTAAATTGCGAGATGTGTTTCAACTGTCTTACAAATTTTCAAATCCTTATAGACTATTACTTACAACAAAACCAAATTCATACTTGCAATTAGAAAACTTTTATATGGTGCCTACAAGCATTGTATTTTATATGTGGTAACATTATATCCCTAGCTTTATTAATCATGTGGTGTATATTTTTTTTTGGTAGAGGGAAGAGTCATAGGCCCCGGGAGTTTAGTAAAATCTTCTCACAGCTACGCTATTAGCATCGTGATTAAGCACCAAGATGATCTCTTCGGGAGGATGCCGTAGGATATTAGTACCCCATGGAGAGTCTTGACCCATATTTGCGAGGTAGTCTGCGCACTGGTTCCCTTCTCTAAAAATATGTTTGAGCTCACAGGCAAGAAAACCATGCATAAGAGTCTTACAATCTTTAATGAGAGTATCAGCTTCCATGTTGGTCTCAGTATTCTTGCTAAGGGCTTGAACTACCGCCAACGAATCCGTTTATGCTTCCACTCTGTCAAAGTCATGTTGTTTTGCTAGGCGGAGGCCTTCCCGTAGCCCCCGGAGTTCCGCGGCGAAGCTCGTAGCAAAGCCAATCTTCGTCACAAAACCCATCACCCTCTTGCCCGTATGATCTCGTAGAAGACCGCCTGCACTGGCGGGCCCGGAAGAGGCCTTTCTAGCCCCCATCAGAGTTAATTCTTACGGTTCCAAGCGGCTGGAGTCCAATGAACCCAAATCATGTGGTGTATATAAATTGGCTAATTTCACTAACTTGTAATGAAAGAATAAAGTATCCAATCAAATAATGTCATGTCAGCATAAAAAAAAAATAAGTGGATAAAATTTGGGTAAGAAGAATAACATAAATATTTAGATTCCATATTAAATAAAAATAAATTAAATGTTACAAATATTTAATTGCACCCACCCCAGAGACCCTACACCTTAACCTGACAAAGTATTTCAGTAGTACTATAACTTAATGATTTATCAGAGAAGGCTAAATGACATGCGAATAATATATGCCCATTTATAAAATCTTTGTAAAACAAGGAAACCATCAACACCTGTATTCAACTATTAACAGCGACATTATTATTATTATTAATTTTTTTTTTTTTTTTTTTTTTTTTTTTGGGTTTTACTTTTCCCCACGTCTATAGGAAATAAATTATGGGAGCTGAGAAAGATTCCATTTTTACACTATAAAAAAACATAAGAGAATTCAAGATTTGTAGGAGGCTTTTTTCTGTTCTGTTTTGCGAGGAGTTAGAGAGGCGTTATGGAGAAGGCACATAGATTCCCGGGTTTGAGCGAGGAGGTGCGGGCGCTGGTGGACGCGGATATGGACTTTGTGGACGCCAGACGTCGTGCCCGCGAAGCTTTTAAGGATGTTCAGCTCTCAATCGATCATCTTTTGTTCAAGGTATTTTACAAACTGGCGTTTTTTGTTTTCCTCTCAATCTTCATGAGCTTATGAGTCTCTGTCAAAGATTGGATTTTTATTGCCTTCCCTGTGGGCTGATTGAATTGACATGTTTTGTTCAAGGTGGTTAGAAACTTAGGATTCATTCCGTTTCTGGGTACGAGGTTTTGTGGGTTTGGATATTGTTGGAAGTGTCAACCTTTTTCTTCGTAGTTTGATGTCTGAAAATGGCTGCTAGCTAATTGGTTTGGATTCAGATATATGATAGGCTTTTCATGCCATTAGGCTGCAGAGCAAGAACAAGGTGTCTTTGTTCTTGTAAGAAACCAATTGTACTTTGAAGAGATTGTCGTGGGAGGTTCGAGCCCTAGCGGCCTCAGTGTGTGAGTTTTACCCTCTTACGGGCGTGACATCTTGTGGAAACTTAGGCCACTCAGTCACCATGATTTTTCTCTCTACAATCCTATCAGGCCGGAGTGGGAGGATCAAGTTGTGGCAAACGTAGTGTGAGAGTTTCACACACTTGTAGGGTGGCTCCTTGTGGTCACCACAACAAGGTGTCTTTGTTCTTGTGAAAAACCAATTGTACTTTGAAGAGATTGCCTTGGGAATTATGTTTTTAAGGTCATTTATTGCATTTAATGTAGTTGTAGTGTTGTCAATCCTGCAACCACCACCCACTAGTCTACCTAAACCTCACCTCGGGTCAGGAAAGGATCACAGGTAAACCAACCTAGGTTACCCATAGCTAACTGGCTCAAAACAAGAAAGCCAATAGGTCGTTCCTGGAGTCGAACTTGCAACTTTGTAGTTATCAAATCAACGTGTAGTGTTGTCAGTTTTGTGTATGGTAGAGTCACTGCATATGAATTTATTAATTAATTGAAAGATAAGAGTGGACAGATAATAGCAGAGGGATGAAATCATCTTTCTATTTAAAATAAAGCAATGCAATAGTACTGCAGTTTTGGATGTGGAAAGAAACTATGCTTAAAGTCTTCAACTTTATTTAGTACAAAGAATGATGATGGATGGGCAGTGAAAGCAACTGGTAGGTGAACTTTGCTTTTTCACCATCACATTCATCAATGTTTCCTTAATGCTTTAACCTTGCAAGGTTTAAGGTTTCTTGCTTTAGTGTTTTTAACACTTATTAGCTTATTTAATCGTCATTAATTCAATCATTGTGCATTTGTGCTGTTGTAATGTTGCCAAAAAGTACCTAAAAGAACGGTTGTTTTGCTGGTACTTTGCTTCAAAATGAAGCTACGGAACTCTTTAATTCTCTTAATTCCTTTCTCGTTCTGTTTCTGCAGACGCCTACTGCTGGGTTAAAGATCGAGGAGGTAAAGACGTGATCTCAAAGTCCTCTACGGGAGGCAATTTGAATAGCTTTCGTGCTTACTTTCTAAAGCATATACGTGAAGCTGATTATTCTTTTGGCAGTCATACGAGGTGAATTCTCGAGGACTGGAGGTTTTCTGCAAAAGTTGGCTTCCAGAGACGAGTTCCCCCAAAGCGGTGATATGCTTTTGTCATGGTTATGGAGATACTTGCACGTTTTTCTTCGAAGGTAGGCATGTACATTCTGGAAGCCTTGGAAGAAGCAGTGTCATAATTCAGTTTTCGGGGAATTTGAAAGCTAAAAATTTGATTGCCATCCCTTGCAGGCATTGCCCGGAAGTTGGCTACTTCAGGATATGGAGTTTTCGCCATGGATCTTCCTGGATTCGGTCTTTCAGAAGGTCTTCATGGCTATATACCGTGTTTTGACAACCTAGTCGATGATTTCATCGAGCATTGCTCGAAAATTAAAGGTACTATACAACCTCAGATTGCAGAAGTTTTGGTTTTTCTTGATTACTGCTGGAGAAATATAGTGACATAAACTAAATGCTCGTTACAGAAAATCCAGAATTCCGTGGTCTGCCAAGTTTCCTTTATGGAGAATCGATGGGCGGAGCCTTAGCTCTGAAGATTCACCTGAAGCAACCCGATGCTTGGAATGGCGCTATTCTTTCTGCTCCTATGTGTAAAGTATGAACACTCGCCTTTCCTACTTCGAGCCCGTGTTTTGGTTGTATATATATTTGTATGCATATGGCTGATGACTAACTTACTGCCAACAGATTGACGACGACTTGGTTCCACCATGGTTGTTAACACAAGTTCTAATTGGCATGGCGAAATTCCTTCCAAAACAGAAGCTCGTTCCCCAAAAGGATTTGGCCGATTTGGCATTTAGAGAAGCAAAGAAGAGGGAACAGGTATGTAAGATCAGTTTTCCATAATCGAATGCCAAAATTTGATAATTTCTTAAGCAAAACATTGGTATTATTTTGCATATTCAAATTGGAAAGCTCGGTTTAGTTGAAGAGTATAAAAATGTCATCTTTACACGAAGAGTTAACTAAATTACACAATCATATATGCAGGCTGTCTATAACATCGTTGCTTATAAGCATAAACCGCGTTTAAAGACTGCCCTGGAATTACTAAGGACTACCAAAGAGATCGAAGAATCACTAGAACAGGTGTGTCAAGTGTTGCACTTATTTCTCGTTTCACCAAACTACAAACTTAATAACGCTTCTTGGCCAAAGTCCAATGACCATTTTTTGGTATAGATAACGGGTTGTGTTATGATTTGCAGGTGTGTTTACCGCTATTAATCTTGCATGGAGAGAGCGATATAGTGACAGATCCATCGGTGAGCAAAGCGTTGTATGAGAAGGCAAGCAGTCGGGACAAGAAGCTGAACCTTTACGAGGGGGCATGGCATTGTCTGCTCGAGGGTGAGCCAGATGAGATGATCCACCGAGTTTTTCATGACATGGTTTCTTGGCTTGATGATCATAGTACTACGCGTTAACCACTTGTGTTTTTGCCTTCTGCTCAATCTGTTTTGTTGGGAGAGGAAAGAAAGATAGAAACTGAAGCAAGAGAATAGAAATCAAACATTTTTACTGTATTTATTTATATATTATTTGATTGAAACTGGAATAAATTCTCCTTGGAGGTGCAACCATGTAACTGATGTAAGGATAGGATATACTCAAAATAATATAGTACACTGTTATTATAAGAGCCACAACTTGTTCCAATTTGTTTATTTGGTAGTCTAAATTGGAATCTCTTACTGAATAGTGCTAACCCAGTTTTTTTGACTTGTATGAAAGCTTAGAAAATTCCGCCTTGATCTTCTTCAGCTGGATAACAACATTCCTCGTATTTATCCTATCCTCCGGGGACTCTTTCAGGCACAGCAAAGCCACATGAATAATTGATGCCAACAGCTGTTCAATACGGATTTGTATTGAACCAGACGAGGAGGAGCTGCTGCAATCTCGGGTCCAACCAAGTTCATCGACGAAAAGGTCTGCATCCAGAACCTCCATTAGAGCATCAGGTAAGGAGCACGATACCCATTTCTGCAAGGTTAAATCTCCGCTAAACATATCATCTGTTGGCTTCTTCCTAGTGAATGTCTCGAGCAATAAAATCCCAAAACTATAAACATCACTGCTGGTGGAAACATGCCCATCTTGACCATATTCTGTTGCAATGCAATAAAAATTCTCATCGGACACATCAAAAGGATACTGCATTTACATTGAAAGAATGCAATAACTATATGATTTTCTTACCTGGAGCAAGATATCCTATAGTCCCCAAAGTCTTGGTCTGCACTAGTGTTTCATCTTGAGTAAATACCTTGGAAATTCCAAAATCTGCGACGTGAGCCACCAGATCCTCATCAAGTAGGACATTGCTGGGCTTCAAATCACAGTGCACAATCGGCACAGTATAATCATGATGGAGATATTCCAAGGCCATTGCTATGTCAGTGACAATATCAATTCTTTGGACTAGGCTCAAATGTTGTCTGTCAGAATATAGCCACTTGTCTAAGCTTCCATTTGGAATAAACTCCAGTATAATAGCCATGAAATCCACATTTGAGCAAGTTGATATGATCTTCACTAGGTTCCTTTTAAAGGGTTAGACTGAAGGATTAGATGTTGAAGATTCCTAGAGTTAACCAGGGAATTTAAGAAGCCAAGTTGTGTAGATTCAGGTTCATTAGTAAGTAGATTGTTTTGGAGATTGAGGCTCTCGAGGTCAACCAGATTTCCCAACATCATTGGAATAGTCCCAGAGAAGCTATTGTTTGCAACCTCCAGATAGATAAGCTTTGAAGCATTACATATCGTAGAAGGTATATCTCCGCTAAAAAGGTTGTGTGAAAGGAAAATTTCTTGAAGATTAGGAAGCCAAGCACCGAGATCCCGGGGAAGGTGCCCACTCAGGTAGTTGTGCCTGGTTTTGAGTATTTCCAGTGCTGAAATGTTGAAGATACTGGATGGAAAATTTCCAGAAATCCGGTTGTATTCAAACTCAAACCACTTCAGTTTCTGCAGCTTACCAAACTCACTTGGTATGTTCCCTTGCAAATCATTCTCAGTTAAGAAAAAATTATTAAGCTGAGATTCTGCCATGAATAGCCAAACCAGGAAGCTGTAGAACAGTGACTCTGTGGTTCAAGCATGAAACTCCAAACCAGGTGCAGAAGTGTGTGGTTGAGGTCCAGTTGGTGGACAGAAGGCTATTGGGTGCCAAAATCATGCCAGATTTTAGTGCTACCAAAGCTTCATAGTCACTGGAATTATTAGCATCTTTTGATAAACAAGAGTTAGCAGAAATCAAGACTAGAAAAACAAAGAGCCCAAAAATTCCCATGTTCTTTGTAAATTGTAATATCAACTCTGGCAGCTGAGAGTCCAATAATTCTGAAAATTTATTGTCTCAGCTGTTTGTTGGAATGAATAATTTTCGTTAAATGCAGTAGTAGTTATATCGTGTACAATGGAAAATATCAATCTACAAGTCTGTTAGGACTTAGGAATAAGATTTTGACGAGTCATTACCGTATTTTGAAAAATTAGGAATTTTCCAATTTTTGATCCACTTTATTTATCAGATCAATAATGCAATTACAAAAATCATGCTTTCACGTGAGAAGAAAATTCAAATTTGAAGGCTACATTTTGCAAGGGAAAATAATGTCACACCAAGGAAAGCTCCCCATAATAAAGTATGTCTCATAAAGAGGAGTAATGGACGAAAATTCAAAATCATCTGACATTAGGGCAAAGGCTAATATCTAGAGTGACAGATCAAGTTGCACATCAAATTGCAAATCAAGTTGACGAACTTATCATATCAATTACATATGAGATGGACGATTGAGATTTAAAGTTGATCAACGGGCCGGGACAGAGCCAAAGGGGGGGGGGGGGGGAGCACCTGCCCCCCTCACCCCACCCCCACCCCATATATAATTTTTGTATGTATATATGTATATATATGGTATAGGTTTTAGTATTAGTATAAAAAACTAGTAAATGTTAACGAGTAAGGAGTTAGATTAGTTGGTAAGGTATGTGGTTGGTAATGAGAAAGGTTTTGGGTTTAAATCTTTGCATTAACATAGTTTTACATATTTTTGAGTTCTTTCCCATGGCTTCAACATAGTCACTTTTTAAATATTTAATATGTGTAATTTATAATGTGTTTTCTATTCAAATTATTTTATCAAATTAATTATGGTTCATATTTTGTTATGAACATTTTTATAAAGTTTCGATGTATTTTATTTTTCGCACATATCCAATAATATTTACAACTATATTTCTTAGGTAATGGTTATAAAAAAAAAAAATTAGGTAATTTATTTATTTTTTAAAAAAATCATCTCTTTTGTATTTAATGTTTCGCTTTTACTGGAAAAAATTTCTAAATCTGTCCTACTTCTTCGCCCCCCAGTCGAATTTCTGGCTTCGTCCCTGTCAACGGGCAAATAGCATTTATTAGCTATAAATACGAAGAACAAGAGAAGTAAAGAGCAGAAAATCAATTCGAAAAGAACAATATGATAAAATTGCCAAAAATGGAGAAAGTGTGCTTCATTAGAAATATCTTATAGTCTGAGAGAGAAATATTTTAATTTCTTTGTACACGTGAGGACGGAGTAACAACAGAGATTGTAAAAAACTTGGTTGAGTGTAGCTTTGTGCATAACACTCGTGGTGTAGGAGTATAGCTTTGTGCGATATACTCGGGAGGCCAGGCGGAGTAACAAGAGGTGCTTGTGAAAAAATCCTGGTGGAGTGTAGCTTTGTGTGTAGCACTCGAAAGTGTTGAGTTGGAGAACTAATGTAATACTTGTATTCACTATTGTATATGAGTGGTTGAAGCTAGATAGTAAATTTCCTTCTTGGATTGAAAGGAGAAGAGTGGAATAGGAGGATTACACCACTATAAATCTCTCTCTTTACTTACTGCTCATTTATATCTGCATGCTTATTATTTCGTACTAACCCAGTTACTATTCATTGCATATCTTTAACTTTCTGGGTTTGATACTTCTTACGTTTGCATGCGAGCCAAAATTTGCGTGCATCATATTTAAGTTATATCAAGTCATTCTAATGTACTGCGTGTATTAAATTCATCACTGGGTTTCAAAAAAAAAAAAAAAAAATCATCATTGAGCACCGCACAATCAAGCATAACACTTTAGGTATATTATTTTTGCCGTGCATTTCAAGTTGAATTTATTCACTTGGAATTATCTTTGATAAAGTGTTATTAAGTTTTTAAATTTTTAGAGAAGTTCACTGCTGGAAAAATGACATTTTCCGTCCACTTTTCTGACCATCCGAAAATGTCGACGGTAAATTAGTTTTTTTTTATAACATCATTGCTTATAAGCATAAACCGCGTTTAAAGACTGCCCTGGAATTACTGAGGACTACCAAAGAGATCGAAGAATCACTAGAACAGGTGTGTCAAGTGTTGCACTTATTTCTCGTTTCACCAAACTTGACTGTTAACTACAAAGTGAATCCTGTACAGCATTCTGCTATCCTTCGTTTTCTGCTTGGTTATTTAATGCGAGAAGTGAGAAGTGAGTTTTTCGTGACATGATTTCTTGGCTTGACGATCATAGTACTACGCGTTAACCACTTGTGTTTTTGCTTTCTGCTCAATCTGTTTTGTTGGGAGAGGAAAGAAAGATAGAAACTGAAGCAAGAGAATAGAAATCAAACATGTTTACTGTATTTATTTATATATTATTTGATTGAAACTGGAATAAATCCTCATTGGAGGTGCAACCATGTAACTGATGTAAGGATAGGATACTCAAAATAATATAGTTCACTGTTATCATAAGAGCCACAACTTGTTCCAATTTGTTTATTTATGCAACTTGTATCTGGTAGTCTAAATTGGAACATCTTATTTAATAGCACTGTTGTAAAAATCGGTCTAGGCGGTCGACTAAGCGTTAGGCACTACTTAGACGCTCCTCGGCCGAGGCAATTTCAGCCCTAGGCGACTTTTAATCGGCTAACCAACTAATCGGCTGACTAGGCACCCTAGGTGCAGACTAGGCCGAGTTGGATGACTAACTCGACTGAGTCGGTGCCTAATTCAATCGAGTTCAGCGCTCAACTCGACCGAGTGATTTTTTTTGCCCACTCGGCTACTCCTTTTTTAAGCGCTAGGCGCCCCTCGGGTATTTGACTAGCGCCTAGCGCCTTCTACAACATTGTTGAATAGTGCTAACTCGGTTTTTTTGACATGTATGAAAGCTTAGAAAATTCTGTGACTTTTGGACATGGCGTTTTGGAGATTTAGGATTAGTTTAGCGTAAGTTGAGAAATCCTAAGATCCAGTTGGTGGACAGAATGCTGGTATTTGGTGCCAAAATCATGCCAGATTTTAGTGCTACCAAAGCTTCATAGTCACTGGAATTAGCATCCTTTGCTAAACAAGAAAAGTTCAAGACTTGAAAAACAAAGAGCCCAAAAATTCCCATGTTCTTTGTTTTGTAAATTGTGATCTCAACTCTGGCAGCTGAGAGTCCAATAATCGTCAAAATTTATTGTCTCAGTTTCAGTAATCAATCTAGGTACTATTTCTTAGGTTGGCGGTTTGTTGGAATGATTTGATTTCAATTAAATGCAATAGTTATATCCTGAATCATAGTTCAAAAATTTTACCTTCTTAATTTTTGTAATTTATTTTTCTCAAATAAAATTAAGGGAAAATGACACTTTTTCCCCCTATGTTATATACTTATAGCACTTTTTCCCCCTCAATTATTTAAGTGGCTCTTTTTCCCCCGGAAATGTTAAATGGACATATTTACCCTTAAAATAAATATTTCATTTATTTTTATTCTCCAATAAATTATTACTATAATTTGGTTCAAACCTGATACTATAGTAACCAAACCAAAATATTCCAATTACAATTTATAATCAAAACGCGATATTTAGAGTTTATTAAAATCACGAACTGGAATGGCCGGTTCATGTTCCGAACTGAAAAAATAAAATACATTTATTGTTGAATTTAAACTATTTTAAAATAAAAAATAAAATTTTAAAATAAAGACGGTTCAAAATCGCGAACGGGATCCGGAACCGCCGGTTCATGATCCAGTTTTTTTTTATTCTTAAATTTAATAAATTGAAATCCAAATATTGGGTTCTAGATCTGAATCATAACTGAAAACTTTTAATTCGATTGCTATAGTGTCTGGTTCAGTTCGAACCGAACCGTGGTAATCGCTACATATACGCAATAATTTGTTGGAGAAGTAAAATAAATAAAATGTTTACTTTAAGGGTAGAAATGTCAATTTAATATATTAGGGGGGAAAACCACCACTTTTAAAATAATTGAGGGAGCTAATGTGCTTACATAAATAATTGAGGGGGAAAAAGTGCTATAAGTATATAACATAGGGGGAAAAAGTGCCATTTTCCCTAAAATTAATGTATAAAAGAATATATCATTAAAAAGTTCTAATTGAGATCTTTTAAATAACAACCATATTAATTTTCTTTAAATAAACTAAGTACATAAAATTATTATTTTTTATACATAAATTTTGTTACAATAAGTATATACTGTT